AGTCATATTCAGGTCCCCACCAATAAGCTGCCATCTTAGACTACTGCTGAAAATACAACAGAAGGTAAACAAGAAATAAATATTTAGCACTCAAAACAAATGACACAATGCATTTTTAACCCCAGATTCCTCCCCCTCCAGTCTCTGACTGACAGTGTAGAAGGCCACTTGACCATCATCACAAAATCCTTTGGAACGTGATAAGTGATAGCTCAATTACTGGAAAACTTGATTCATGTTTTCAGTTAACTTTTTTATGTAACTTTTCCAGGCCAAATTATAAACAACTGCTTCAAAACAAAATGGCTAACCTAAAACATAATTATGCATTCCATTCTGTGTACATAATTTCTTTAATTCCATGGCATAAACTTTTTGTTTAATTTTTCTTTTATTTGTGATATGCATTCAAAAATAATTACCGGTAATTGTCTAGGTCTATAACTCCCACTGTCTGGTGGTTTAAGCCAAGTTTCAATGTTGGTATGCCCGCACACTTGTATGTCTGACGCCAGGTTGACAATCAACAAATTATTGTGAGGTTTGGCAGATGTGGTCTTAAGGCTGGAGTACACCGTTAACATCGTTTTTCTGCCGCTAAACATGGGTCTTGTTCACATTTAACACAATTCTATATTGAGGGTTTTTTGTAAATTTTTGGGTGATTTTAGGGTATATTTGGCAGATAGTTTTTCTCAAAGGATTGGTAAAATTAGGCGAAATATGAAATTTTAAAGATTTAATGTAGTTTTAAAATTAGAATTTGAAGTTGAAAATTGTATTAGATGGACACCCAGGCAGTCCCCTACCAACCTGGGGTGCTCTTGCGTCGGGCTGAACTGTCTGGGGGTGTTTCAAAACTAATTTTCTTTCTTTTATCCCTAATTCTTTAAACCTCTCAAAATCCCATTCAATTTCACATGCCTAATAAGGAGAAAATGACAGTGGTTTGCAGTCTAGTAACAGGAAAAATGAGGTGCCTGTCGGGATGTACAACTCTCTTTAAGAGACCCTCAACTGTGCCAGATCATGTAATGTATTAGCCAATTCCAGAGAACGCCAATCTACTCTCTGTGCAAAACCCTGGGAATTTGACTTTCTTTCTGACCTTGGTAACCTTTCGCAAACGCGTGCAATATGCATGACAGCCTGAGCCTCTCAAGAAATGACATGTTTTCTACTGTTTGACAAATTATGTGATTATACCGTGCAGAATTTTGTGGTCGGCAGCTCGAATTACGACGATGGAGCATAAACAGATCAAGATAGGAGCGCGTTAAAGTTGAAAATTTACTAAAGGTTGTCGGCTCAGTTTGATCCAGTTTCGTAGCTCGGTTTTTTATGTAACACGATCAAGTACCTATCGCGTCCACAAGTGAGTTTGTAGAAAGATAGCAGTTATTTGTCCCTTTTCCTTATTTGTGTTTTTAAGCAATCTTTAGTGACAAATGGTCAGCACATGGATATTTTACTGTACCACTATGAACAATCTTCTAGTGTTTTCAGATGTTTTACGGCAAATGGCAGCAGTTAGGAAACTCTACGGGAATACTTCAACTGGAAATACAGCTGGATCATCTGACTAATTTCGAATCCACTGTGAATGGAACAGCATAGATCACTGATCCATTAATCTGGATTTGGATACTTCGGATTTCAAATCCAATGTGAATCCTTTTTCAAAAAGGATTCACCAGATCAAAAATCCGAATTTGGATTTGCCGAAAGGAACGCGAAATCTATTTTAAGATCGAAAATCCGTTCTTGGATTCACCGAAAGGAACACACCCTTAATTGTGAATGGCGATGTATAGGTGGTTTTCATGCAATCTCGGGAGACACAAATAACAATGGTGAAATGAACAAATGCTGGTGGACAAACAAAGCGAGCTAATGAGCGATCTTTTGTTTACCGTCCACCAGCATGGCGGCGATGACGTAACGTGAAAACCACCTATAGGTGTTCTATACGCGAAAGGTTAACTGAGAAATTGCACAACTGTAATGGTTTCTTTACAACGCATCGCTTTCCCCCTTTTCTAAAATTCCGACAAAGACAAAAAATTTTCGTTCAATTTCCGACAGCGACGTGACGTGAAGCATTAATAAACACTTTAAAATTGAGACGAGCGACATGGGAGCCCCCCCTGGCAGGGCCTCATTTATTCAGCGCTCGCGCTCCAAAAATACGCCTGCATTGCAGCCTAGGCAAATAAGGGCATTCTACCCTGTGTAAAGCAGAAAAAAGCTTTGGGCTCCATGACTCAGCAGGGATTTTAAGACAGGCCGGCGCTGTACGTGACTCGCGCTATCTCGTCCTGCATGAATTTGAGATCGAAGTCGAGAAAATACGTGACATTTCACGGAAAATTCGCCAGTCCGACACTCTCTTTTGGTAGCTAAGAATCTAAATTACAATGCTGCACAATAATTTTTATCAAAACGAGAAACATACCGCTATTATTCCGCGAAAAAGTCAGCACAACACAACTCCAAACTTGACCTTGTCGACACCAAGTGACAATGAAACCGCGCGAAAATCGATGACATGATAAATGGCAGGTCATGTGACCTGGAAAGGCCAATGACAGTGCGTAAGTTTATCAGCGAAATCTTTTCGTCCGCCCCACTGGTCCGCCGATGAAAAGACTCCTTTTCTGCGTGCAGCCGAGAACTTTACAGCTAGGAATAACAGATAAAAATTAACTGAGATAGGATTATCATATTACTAACTACTTAATAACCGCGCGCGAGGGCTTTACTGTAAAATTCCAGACTAAGGGATGAAATTTTTTCTTTATGGACAGAGCCTCGACAGCCTCTGGGCGAGGTCCATAAATCAAAAATTTCAGCCCGAATTCTGGAGTTTTACAGTAAAGCCCGAGCAAACAAGGTTATTAAGTTGTTTATTATATGGCTTCAGATAGGCAAAGCACGCTAAAGAGAGAGAACTTCTACATTGCCTTCATTTCCGTCACAATTTCGTCAGGATAATAAAATTCAGAAAAGAAATCTTCAGAACTCATAGCTAAAAAAGATGTGTGTTTTGTTCAATTTCTTGATTTTTAACAAAGTTTCTTTCAGCAAAAGTAACTAAGTTCGCTAGGATTTGTAAACAAAAACCGTGGCGGGAAAAATCTGTAATGCCCGTGGGCGTTTACCGGGGGATTACGAACCGCTAATTAGCCAATCAGAGCGCGCGTCCTATCGCACCCATATAATAATTTTGATGTAAAACACAAGTCCTGCGACTTTTGACAGATGCTATAGCGCTGTCATGGTAATACCACGAAATGGGAAGGGAAAACACCGTGAGAACCACAGCGAACAGAATTTTGAACATATACCGTGCAGATATTTTAATGTCTTAAAAGACTTGATCCGAAGGTAATTTCGAGGACAATGAGGTTGTTCTAATAGGGTTCCCTTATCTGAGCGGCTCAATTGAGTCGGAAGGGTGCGGTTTTCAGGGTGTTGATAACTTCCTCCCTATAATATCTACGAGAGGGCCTTGGGTACCAATTTAATTTTAAGACCGACGCGGGGAGAAAATTTTTCAGCCCACTTTACAAAGAAAGACAAAGTAGACCCGCACTCCGCTTCTCGCAACAACTTTCTTCAACTTACAACAAATGTTTTTGTTTTGTAACAAGTTGATCACGCTAGGTGAAAAACGTGAAACATCAACCCAATACTTGCAACAAAACAATGCTGCGTGACAGGCTGAGGGTTTTTGTATCTCGTCTTTCACCACCTAAGAGAACAATTCAACTGATCAATCAAATCTATCATGAAAAAAGTCCTTGAGAAATTTCCCCTTCCTTTACACGGCAAAGCTCTAACTCAAGATTTTTCCGCGATGCCTGTTCGAAATCAGAACGTTCCTTGTCAAATTTGTCGCCCTTGAGTTTTCCCACTCGTGATTTAGGATGGCTTGTTAATCAGCGAAATCTTTCGAGATACTGGCAAATCACGAAAGGCGACCTAATCCAAATTATTTCTTCCCTTCATGATTCTTTTTTGTTTAGGTCTAGCTTTTTCATAAGGTTTTAGTAGCGCCTGGTCGCGGGCCATGATTTCCGATAGATTTTATGATTTTACTATTCGGAGTTCGCCAGTTTTTGCCGAGCATAGCTAGAGTACAGTTTTTTCTTTTTTTATCGAAAACACCTTGACGATGGGAGGTTAAATCGCGTAAATTTCAACTCGTACCCCTGACGATTGACGGTGAAATCGCGAAAATATTGTCCCCGTCGATCGACGACTCGCTTTTGGCATGGATTGGACTTCTGGATGGGACACGGATCAGGACCTTAGTAAACTTATTATACCTTGAGATCAGGGATAATCATTGAAAAAATGTTAACTTTGAGACCTTGGAAACACATTGCAACTAATTTTTAACCGTATCAAGAGTATCTTGGAATATTAAACTTTCATCTTCGATTAAAACATTGGAACTTTATCGAGCTTTATAACCCTGGGTTCGAAACATAAGGCAAGCGGATGTTTTGTTTTGTTTAAAACTACAATGTTTATTTTTCTTTGAAAAAGTTACCTGTGGCAACTTACTACCAAGATATGACCTATCTTTATACATATAGTTCCTGTTCAGGTTAAACAGAGAGCATTATGCGCATGTTCTCCATTACTTGTTTCCGTTAACATTCAAGTTACACGGCTAAAGCTTGTTTTGATGCAAAATAACTTCTTTTTCTTATCCAAATCGTGCTACCAAAATAACTACATAGCGATAGATCAAAACAAGATCAACTCCATCCTTGCGACCACTGTCAACTATAAATTTAGCTTGCGTAGGAGGTGTCGAAAGGAGTAGGGGATAGGGAGGAAGCAAAAAAGGGATGTGGACTGGGGAGAAACAGTAGCCTGCCACGCAGGCTACTATAAATTCAGTCATAAGCACATTAAACCAACCCATACAGGTAACCTACTCATCGATGCTCATAACATGACACATCTTTCCGGTTTCCCCAATTTTTCCAATTTCAGATAGAACGCCATTATGCTTCCATGGACCAACGCATCCCACGGAAACGACTTTAGGCGTCTTGTTTTATAAAAAATGGGCAGTAAGAAAAATTTATTAAAAAGCCAAGTAAAGAACTACACTGTAGATTGAAATACTATTATAAAAAAGGCTCTTTATTTACTTTTGTAAATATATAAATGTAACCAGGTTTATTGTATCATGCATTAAAACCTTTATAACAATTGATAAAAAGTCTATAAAAATCTATATAACTGCAGCTACTGCTCTACAGTGGGACCACTGTTACCACAGCCACCCAGACAACGTTAACCAATCACAAAGCAGAAGAGAAACAATAAATTCAAAAAGTTTTTCTTTTGAAATTTCATTGTTCTGTTCTTAACATTTTCATTGGCTAAAGAAAAAAATGTTGGAATCTATTGTTTCCATTCTGCTTTGTAATTGGTCAACTTTGTCTGGCTGCTCCAGTAACAGTAGTTGCACTGTAATTCAAAGTATGCTATAAACAAGAAAAATTGAAGATGCAGTTATAAGTGGATTCTTTGCACTCAAATCCATTACCAAAGAATGGGCTACAAGAGCCAATATCCACAGCAGTGATTTAAGGTCCACAGTAGGGGTATGGACGGTGGGTAAGCTCCAGGGAAAACTTTCTCTTTGTGCCTTTCTTAGGGTCTTTGCAAAGCTGGACTACAAGAGCTGATGTCATGTAGGTGGCATGCCAGTCAGATCCCTCGAGCTCGTTACCAGTGCCACGGATTTTGCTGTCGACTTTCTTCAAGGAGTGGGCATATTTTCTGATATCATTGAAAAGCCAGTGTACATCATCCATAGACCTGAAAAGTAGCAACATAATTTATTATTGACTATTCAGTGGTTATTTTAAGATACAGAATGTCTTTCTTACATATCAGGTCGTAACTAATGGGGGACAGCTCTAATAAATACTGCTTGAGCAGTACCACATGCAAACAAAAGTTCTCCTGAAAATCTCTGATATCGTCCCACATTTTTTGGGTATTCTCAAAAAATCTAAAATTTCCCAAATGTTTGACTTAATTACATCATGACTCCCTCAAAATTCAAAGTATCCCAATTCCTGGCAAAATCTTCAGATTTCTAGAAGAATTTTGTTTTTCTTCTGAAACAGACCTTCTTATTGTTGACACCTCTTTAACTGCAACTACCCACTTTGTCTTGCCGTGTGCACTAGAAATCATTGTGCTTGTTGTAAGTGGAACAACAATAAGTCAGGGTTGGAAATTAGCACTCGCCCACTCGAGTGTCAATACTACTTCGGCGAGTACAAATCTTAGCCTTTTGGTTACATTTATTAAGGGCACTTGCCCAATAGCGAGTGCTGTTAAAATTAAGGACGTTCGCGCGAACATCTTTTAACATTGATTTTTTTCTGAAACTTTCACCATTTTGAGATTATGGGTTACTCATGTCAAAAATGTAAAAGAATTGGGGGGTCACCGAAATCGTTTCGGATCGAGATATGACATTTAAAAGATCACCCAAAATCTGAGAAATCGGGCTTCGTTACTGCATACGGATAAAGTGCCTGTTTGTGCAAAAAGTTTATAAATAAATCCCTGAATTGAAATTTTATCTGCCAATTATTGTTCTTGTGGATCCATAAACAAAATTCGGTGAACTAAAAAACTTCCTCAGAGTGGATTTTATCATTTAGCGGACACATTTCTACTCTCCTAACAGCCGCACGAATGCCAAAATTTCGACGCCGCGTACACAGAAAAATTGGAAATTTTTTACCTTCCCACATTGATTGTTTGTTCATTTTTTCACAATCTATCGGAAAGTGGAAGAGAAAGTGGTCTACGGAAACAAACTGGGGTGTCACCAACCATTTAATAAAGTAAATTGCAAGCAAAGTTAATGCAACAGCTACCAGCCCTATATGTGCTTAGACAGTGCTCTCAGCGTGTGCACTCGATGCATGACGTGGCGCTATGAATTACGTGCGCAGTAGGGATGAGCAGAAACAATTAGCGCGAACGCCCTTAAGTTTCCGTCCCTGTAAGTACTAACAAATTCATTCACTGCTTTCAATATCTACTATTAAATAAATTGGTAAAGTTGTTGTGCATAATAATAATAATAACAATAATAGTAATAATAATAATAATAATCATTATCATTGCTAGAGTCAGTAGGTACCTAGATGGCGTTTTGGACCAGCTGGCTCCCTTCTCAATGGCAGTGGCCAGATCAAGTTCCGAAAAATGCACCCCGCCTCCAATTTCATCCATCAAATCAAGATCAATGTCACAAAGATCATCGTCTCCATCATCATCATTTCCACATCCATCAACACGGACATCGATGGCTGATAGTTTTACTTTAAACTTTGCTTCAGAAAGTAGTTGATAGACCAATGCATCTTTACCCTTCAGGTTCTGAACATAAAGGAAAAGGAGGAATGTCATACAATGATTAAGTAATTGGTCTTGGAAAAATAACAG